GAATACTGTATAAATCTGTAAAAATTGATTAAAATTCACTTGCAGATTATAACTATGTAATAATAATCCTTAGATTGACATCTCAAAGCACTTCACAGGATATACTGTAAATTGTAATGATTGTATTTTGTAATTGACCTCGGCAACCAATTTGTGCACAGCAGTGTCACACAAACTGCCATGCAATGAATGCCCATTTTTCTCTGGGGGATTGTTGGCCTGACATTAGGAGAATCTTGTCATGGAGTCCAGTATCAGTGTTAGAGCATTTGCTTTGCAAACAAGAGGACCTGGGTTCGATTCCCGGGCAGGGCAATACAGTGGGCAAGTTTCCTTGCTCCACATGCTTGTTCACCCAGCAGTAAGTAGGAACCCACTTGTTAGTCGAATGGTGGATTGTTTTTGTGGGGGTAATAATCCCTTGAAAAAAAAAATAATCCTTGGATTTGATATAGCGCCTTATCACCTCATCGAGACATCTCAAAGTGCTTCACAGGATATACTGTAAAGTGCAGTGACTGTATATTTTGGGGGCGAAACGCGACAGTCAATTACGCACAGCAGTTTTACGTCTATTTGTGGGACACTGCTGTCTGTGTGCAATTGGCTGCCACGTTTCGCCCATGAAATATACATTCAATTCACTTTACAGTATATTCTATGAAGCTCTCTGAGATGTCTCAAAGACATGATAAGTCGCTATATCAAATGCAAGGATTATTATTATTGACCTGGTCGATCACCAAAGTTTGACCTACTAGAAGACAGAGTTCAGCTCTTCTTGCCAGAACAAACCTGAGAAAGCAATATTAAGCAAGAAGAACAACCCAGAGCCCAATATAGGGCCTCAGGTTCACAAACTGAGATTGTTCTCTCCTCAGAGTTTCAAATTGGTAGCACTAGGACCATGAGAGGCAGCAACCATTTACCTGGCGAGGAGCAGGCTGCCTGCTTTGTTCCTTAAAGCATTCCTTAAATAGCCTACGGAGCACATTAAGGAATCTAGCAAATTTTACTCCATAATGGTCTTTGTAGAAAGTCAGCCTGGTAGCATAGTGGTAACATTGTGTGCTTTGCCTTCCAGAAGTCACAGTTTGTAGTTTTCTGACAATTAAATCTGACAGCTTCAAATCTGATGAGTTTTGTCATTTCTCTGTTGAGCAAATAAGCGGAATGTTCACTGGGCAGACAATTGGACTTAAGAGAAAGTGAAAAGCTAACATTCACTGCCCATAAGTCCTATGAGTAGTTGCCTGTCATATCGCAGAAGAGAAAGAATGGAATGGGTTAAGGCCATGAGAACAGTTCCTTCCGTATATCAACAACAGCAACTTGCATTTATATAGCGCCCTTCAGCATCTCGGAGCACTTAACAGTGGCCGAGTTTGACATGAGCCAGGGAGAGAGAGGAGGTGACTGTAAGCAAGGTCAGAGAGGAAGGTCTTCAGGTACAACCTGAAGATGGACAAGGAGGGCCCAAGGCAGAGGGATTAAGGCAGAAAGTTCCAGAGTCTCAGGCGATAGTGGCTAAAAGCACAGCCACCATGGAGTGTAGGGGTCGATGGATGTGCAGGAGGACGCAGCCACCTGGGCCAAGGGGGCTATAGAATAGTGGAGTGTTAGCCCCAGAGAGGAGAGTGGTGCCCGGACATGAAGTGACTTGTATGCGAGCTTGAGGATCTTGAAATCAATCCATTATCCTTATAGGTCTTAACAGGCATAATCATAATCAAGACCTACCCTGTTCCATTCTACCTCCTAAAGGAAATCTCTGCATTTTTTTTGTTCAGCCAGGTGTCTGACATGTACAGAAACCCATCACTAATGCTCAAGAGCATCCAAAGTGGACTGAGAGTTCTTCACATGCATGCCAACTATGCTTGTAAATTTCCCTGTCTGGAATGGTTAAGATATTAAACCAAGGTCCAGCTGCCTGTTCAGGTGGATGTTAATGATCTCACGGCATTATTCGAAAAATGAAAAGGTAGTTTCCTGGCCAACAATCCCCCAAATAAAATTGGTTCATTCACTTCATGGCCACTTGTGGGACTTTACTGTGCACAAAGGAGAGAGAGAAACAAACACACACACACCTGGGTATGAGAGATGTTAAAGGTCATAGTGAAAGATTGGACATGGGATTAAAATATCTGTTGTTTCGCCCACAAAACACACAGTCAAAACCACTTTGCAGTATATCCTGTGAAGTGCTTTGAGACATATCGGTGATGTGATAAGGCATTATATCAAAAGCAGGGATTATTATTATAAAATCTAATAAACTGGTGGAACAGGCCTCAGTTTGCTGAATGACCTTCTCCTATTCCTGTTTTCCTATGTTCCTGGTGTTCCTCTTGATCTTCTCTGTTTCAATGGAACCAAAGCAAAGTTACACTTATGGATATCCACCTGGCTCAATTGGTAGCTTTCTCACCACTTGGTCAGAAGGTGTGGGTTCAAACTTTAGAAACTTTGGAGTGGAGGCGATTAGGGGCATTTAAGATCATATTCTAGTCTTATATTCATTCCAGTGCACTGCTAAAAGAAATCTAAAAGAAATGGGAAAGGTCCCATGGCACTACTTGAAAGAGAACTGATTTTCTCCTGGTGTTGTGGGCAACAATCCCCCAGATAGAATTGGTCATTCACCAAGTGGTCATTGTGTACAAAACTGTGATCACCTACAAAATGCACAGTGACTACACTTTACAGTTGATCCTGCAAAGCACATTGAGTCGTCCTTCCAACATACAAGTTGCTGTATCAAATGCAAGGATTATCATTATAACAATATCCTCTCAATCCTCTCAAACAGAAAATGTGAAGCAAGTTGAGGTTTTAATGTAATTGGTGCAATATCAAAGCAAGGATTATTATCATAATTTGTGTTATTCTATGCTGTACCTGTTCCATACCTGTTCTGAGTCCCAGAATCATGGAAAGCCATCACTAATGAAACTATGAGGCTCTAAGAATTGAAGATAATTTTAGGGTTAATGTTCATCCCAGTCAACCATCACCAGATAAAAATCACCATTCGCAAATAATATGACTGATAAACAGCTACAGATTTTCCACATTTCTTAAAATAAATTTCAAAAGTAATATTAGACTAAAGTTTTTCTCACCATTCTGCTTGATCTTAAATTTAAAGACAAAATGGTCTTTTAGGCTAAGACTTGGTAGGATTTGGGGTGGTTTAAATGTTGCTTTAGTTCTTTTTTATAAATGGTGATTTTTATTTTGTAGGCATATGTGAAAAGTGCTATATTAAGTGTAATGATTATTATTATTTTTGTGATTTCTGACAAGTCTTTGCAGTCTCCCTCACAGTTTCGCTTGGGCATCTTTAAAATATATTTCTCTATTTTGTACGATAGTGTCAGGAAGTCAAAAAGATCAAATAGAGCTGAATGGGGGAACACCAACACAATGGGAGACTTTAAGTCCCATGTCTTTTTCATAAGTATTTCTATTTTCATATTTCTGAACATTTCCAAAAATTCAGATCACATCTTCAGACATTAAAGAATCCTAATGGGAAATCTCAATTCAAATATCAGTTTTAATGGGACACTAAGCTCCTTAAAGAGAGCTTGCCTATGTGTATTTCAAACAGCCTTAGGAAATAAACACAAGTTAGGTCATTAGCAACCCGCAAGAGCATTAATGATTATTTATTTCTTCTTGTAATCCACATGGATTATTGCTTTATCAATTTATGAGGGAGCGGCAAAGTTTTCCTTATGGGAGGGTAAACATTTCAGGATCCACTTCACTTACAAGCCAGATTTATTCTAATTCATTAATACTTACACTTAATGAAGTACTTTTAATATTTTCACAAGTAATCACAAAATCACAAGATTCGTTATCCTTCGGATCTTGTGATCTCGTTCCACATCACAGCATCAAGCTGCCTTTTAAATCAGTCCAGTGTCCTAGCCTCAACCACCGTCCTGTGCCAGTCATCAACTGTCCTCCAAGTAAAGAAAAGCATCCTTGTTTTTATCCTGAAATTGCCCTTCGCAACTCCAAACCTATGTCCCCCTGTCCTCCTGTCCTGATGCAATCCTACAGTATTGTTCCATGATTTCCTTTTTTTAATCCCATTTGGGACGTCCTGACGTGAAAGGCGCTATACAAATGTAATCTTGTTGTTGAAATCTTTTACATCTCTGTAAGTAACCCTCATAGTCACCTTCTCTCAAGACTGAAGAACCCTATTTGTTGTCTATTTGTTGCTCATAGTTCATTCTTCTGACACTGGGAATCATCCTCTGCACTGCCTCTAAGGCCAGGACAACTCCTTTATCTCGTGGTGACCAGAACTGTACGTGGTATTCTTAGTATGGTTTGACCAGAGCACTATGGGTTACCTTTAGTCGAATTCAGTGTTCGGAACTCATTGTCCTGCACTCAACCCTCAAAGTTTGCAAGCTTCTCCCACTCATGACATTGACTTCCATAGCATGATACCATCTCTTGACATAGACTATTGAAATATTCAGCACCAAAGTTAATCATCCAATCTAATATGTTACTGTTGTCTGTCTTTCGTAGTCCCCCTTTTATCAGCCCCACTTTCCCAATATCCTTAAATTTTCCATCAGTAGAGCAATCCCTTCAGAATACGGGAGCACAATAACCATCAACATTTAAATAAGTCCTTGTTTAGGACTTGAAATTTCTGAACAGTATGCTTTTAATACAGAGTTTTCACTATTAATAATATTTTCTAATAATTCTTGATAATCCTTATATTTGCAAATCAAGAGGATGTCTCAAAGTGGTTCAGATGATTTACTGAAAAGTGTAGTGACTGTGTATTTTGTTGGCAAATCATTTATATCAATTTGCCTGAAGGACACCAACAATCCTTTAACATACCCTGTTTTTTTTAATGTATTCCACTTTGGAGAATTATATTTCTAAAATTCTAGTTTACGCATTGCTTTTGTTTTGAACTCTAACCGATTTGCTTTCCTTTTGTTTCACAGGATTCCCCTTTGCTCGTGGATTCTTCCCAGAACGTGACCGTTAATGCACGTAACTCTAGTGGGCAGGTGACAGGCAGGTTAACGGTGGGTAAGTAATACATAGCTTTTCACTCTCTGACCTCCTCTGATTGAACGAACATTGCTATTCGAGAACTGAATCTTTCCAGCACTTACCAGCACCAGTTTGAGAGTATCCCTCAGAGAGGTCACAAGACAGGGAAATGGAAACTGTAGAAAATGGAAACTGGATCCGATGCTGGACAGATGTTCTTCTATGATTGGGATAAGATGTGTTAAGGATCCTGTGATTGGTTAAACCCTTGGACCAGTCAATGTCTCCAGTTATTGACTGACTGCATTGGTGAACTTTTCACAATGTAATGCTCGACTAGTCTTAATAAAAACATGAGTCGCAATTCTCATATCTGAGTAGGAAATTCTACTTCCAGAATTTATTCTGATTTCTTAGCATTTCAGAGTATACAGAATTTGGCAAATTGTTGTATTCAGTCTAAACTTTGAGCAGTCCTGCATTGTTGCGAGGAGCTATCCTTCGGATGAGTCATTAAACTGAAATCCCTTTTGCTCGTTGAGGTGGACGTTAAAGATCCTATGGCACCATTTGAAAAGAGGAGGAAATTTCTTCCGATGTCGTGGCTGACAATCCCCCAGATAAAATTGGTCATTCATTTCATGGCTGCTTTTAGACATTGGCCGCCACATTCATTCACAAAAAAACACTCACTAAACAACAACAACAATATGCATTTATATAGCGCCCTTCACACCTCTACCTCTCACATCATCTCCACTTCATCTAGCCCCTGCACCATCTTGTGTGGAGTTCCTCAGGGCTTTGTCCTTGATCCCCTTCTCTTCAATATCTATATGCTCCCTCTTGGTGGCATCATCCACAGACATGGGGTCAACTTCCACATGTGTGCGGATGACACCCAACTGTACCTCTCTGCCTCCACCCTCAACTCTAGCACCACTGTTGTGTTCTGACAGAATGAGAGCTAACTTTCTTCAGTTGAACTTCAGCAAGGTTGAGGCCCTCCTAATTGGCTCCCGTCAACATCTTCACACCTCGGGCACTGACAGCATCACCATCCAAGGATGCACACTCCACCTTCCTTACTAAGCCAGTCTGGGAACCTTGCCATCTTGTTTGACCCTCAACTATCCTTCCAATCCCACATCCGTGCCATGTTATCCCCCTACCTCTCCGACCTGTTATCCCCCTACCTACCTGCCCGTACCCTCCGTTCCTCTGGCTCCGGTCTGCTCCACATCCCCCGCCCCAACCGCCCTACCATCGGTGGCCGGGCCTTCAGCCTCTCGGCCCCTAGGCTCTGGAACTCTATCCCCCAGTGCCTTCGCCTTGCCTCCTCCCTTTCCTCCTTCAAGGCCGGTCTCAAGACCTTTCTCTTTGACCGTGCCTTCAGCTCCCCTCTCGACTCTCTACACCCTCCTCACTCCCTCCCTTCCCTCCCCTCACACTGACCATTTCCCCCTTGCTCGGGTCCTGACCCAACTGTACAGCGTCCTCCCGACGTGAAAGGCGCTCTATAAATGGAATCTTGTTGTTGTTGTCTTGTTGATGTCCCATTCTGCCTTCCCCCACCTCCACAATATTGGCCAGCTCCGCCATTGTCTCACACCGCAGTCCGCCAAGACCTTCATACATGCATTCATAACATCCAGGCTTGTCTACGCAAACTCCCTACTTGTCGGCCTCCCCAATCCTGCCTCCATAGGCTGCAGATCATCCAGAACTCTGCAGCCCATGTCCTCTCCCACACCAGGCTCCGCAACCCTATCACACACATCCTCGCCTGACTCCACTGGCTTCCCATCACACAGAGGATACAATTCATGATCCTGGTCCTCACCTTCAATGGCCTTGCTTCCCCCTACCTCTACAACCTTCTAACCCCCTACCAACCTGCCTGCTCAGCGGGCTCCAGCCTGCTTCACATTCCCAGCCTGCCCCACCATTGGCAGGCGGGCCTTCTGCCACTCTGCCCCCACCCTCTGGAACTGTTATGGAGTCCTGTAGCTCAGTGGTTCAAGCGAGAGACCTGGGTTTTGATTCCTGGCAGGTGAAACCTTGCGCAAGTTTCCTTACTCTACACGCCTGATAACAATCCCCCCCAAAAAATCAATAATAATTTGGTCACTCATCCACGACTGTTTGGGACACTGCTGTGCTCAATTGACTGCCGCGTTTCACCCACAAAATATACAGTCAATTCACTTTACAGTATATTCTGTGAAGTGCTTTGAGATGTCTAGAAGACGTGAAAAGCGCTATATCAAATGCAAGGATTATTATTATATTAACTCCATCCCGCTGTCCCTCTGCCTCGCCCCCTTCCTTGCCTCCTTCAAGGTCCATCTTAAGACTTTCCTCTTCGACCGTGCTTTCGATCTCCCTGCATCCCCCCTGCCCTCCACCCTCCCCAACCCCCAGCTCGTGTCCGAAACTCTATCCAGTGCCTTGGGAGGTCCTCCCGACGTGAAATGTAATTTTGTTGTATTATTACATAATAAATAGGAACAAAAGGGTAAAACCTTAAAACCTTGTACATTCAGGCTGTAAGGGCATCATAGAACAGTATGAGATTGCACATGTTACTGAGAGATGGTTCGTGTATATTCTTAACCAAATTGTGAGAGTGACATTGATCATCAATCTTGTGACCTGTGTAGTGGTATAAGCAATAGCACAGCTCAAACCATATAATGACTGTGATATGTGTATTTATGAGGAGCGGTTAATAACGATTCAGAAAGTAAGAGCATTGTGGTATCTGTAAATGTCACCTGAGTACGGAGTATAAATCAGAATCAAGTACCTGAGTAGTTGTAAACGTAAGTTCAGTTGACAAGTTCATCAGTGTTCTCGTTAAAATGTGCTTTTATTTACCCACCTTCACCCCTCATCTTCTGGCCTGTCACTCATGTGGCATTCTGCTGTGCTTAACGGTTCTGGCCACAGTATTCTGAGATGGAATAATGCACTTAGGAAGTCCTTTGAAACTCATTCGGAATTTGGGCAGTGGACTTGCATGACATTTGTTGTGGAATTTGTGCAGAGGCAAACAGCAAATCCTTATTTATTGCAGTCAGAGCTGCAGAGGTTTTGGAGAGAATAATGCAGTTGCTGTTTTACTTGAGCAACTCTGATGCCATCACAAGCCATGAGGGTGCAGCTTGGGTTATTTATACATTTCTAGATGTGTGGATGTGAGCCCTAAGGTCAACACCCAGCATTCATATTTTTAATAATTTATGGGCTTAATAAAATGGAAGGATACCTGATGATATTCGAAAGTCTTGTAATAATTGCATTCAGTTAAGTCTCACGAGAAGGAATTTTTCCTTGTTAACCCTGCAAGCCAAAGCTCAAATCGGTGAGATTGTCCTAGCTGGATAAGCAGAAGAAAGTTTGCCAGACAGTGCTCTCAATGACAAGCCATGTGTTTTAGCTGGTTAAACTCCAACAGGACCACAATTTACACTCTGGATCCACCAACCTTTGCTCTATACCAACCATCCTCCATCCATCCTTCAGATGAGACGTTAAGTCGAGGTCCAAGCTGCCTGTTCAGAGATTGCATGACACTTTTTGAAAAAAAAGTGAGTTTTTCTTGGTATCTTGGCCAACAAGCTCCCAAAATAAAATTGGTTATATGTTTCATGGTTGTTTGTGGGACATCATTGTTGGGCTGCCACGCAATTGAGCTGTATGTTCGCCTACAAGTACACAGTCACGCAGCAGTAAATCTTGTGAAACGCTTTGGGATATCCTCCTGACATGAAAGGTGCTATACCAAATGCAAGGATTATTATTATTATTGATACTCTCCAGAATTAAGTAAGCAGGATGTGTCCCTCTAGGAAGAGAGTGTGGATTCCATTCCAGATACAGGGAAATTTCCATGCGTAGGTGGCATAATCCTTGAGGTTTGATATATCGCCATTCACACCAGGAGGATGGCTCAAAGTGCTTTATAGGATTAAAGTTTAGTGACTGTGTATTTTGTATACGAACTCGACAGCCAATTTAACACATAGCAATGTCCCTTGAGAAGCATGTAGTGAATGACCAATTTTATATGGAGATAAGTCAGTGGGAGAAACTGCCTTCTCCTTATGAATAGTGCCATGGGATCTTTAATATCCATCCGGAAAGACAAATCGGACCTCGGTTTAAATTCTCATCTAAAAGACAGCACTGCCAACTATATAGCACTCCCTTGGAACTCTTCGTGGAGTCCTGTAGCTCAGTGGTTAGAGCACTCGCTTTGCAAGTGAGAGACCTGAGTTCAATTCCAGGCAGGTCAAGGCGAAACCTTGGGCAAGTTTCCTTACTCCACACGCCTAATAATAATCCCTCCAAAACCAAAAATAATAACAAATTGGTCATTTTCAATCTACGACTGTTTGTGGGACATTGCTGTGCGCAATTGGCTGCTGCGTTCGCCCACAAACATAGTCAATTCACTTTACAGTGTGTTCTGTAAAGCGCTTTGGGACGTCCTCCCGATGTGAAAAGCGCTATATCAAATGCAAGGATTATTATTATTATTGGAGTATCAGTCTTTGCTGTGATTTCAAAGCCCCAACATGGGGCTTGAACCCACCATCTCTTACTCAGAGGCGAGAGTGCTACCAACTGAACCAGGCTAAATCAGGCTCTCTATGGAGAGCCATAGTGATGCTGGTTTGCCTGCTTGATCTGAAGAGTTTTTAGAATCATACAACTTTACAGCTTTCAGTCCCAAACCAGATCAGAAATAATCATTTATCTAAAGCACCATGAAATATTGGAGCTAATGAGATTTTTATATTCAAGCATCTTCAGAATATTTGTTTTCTTGAAGCTGGGGAAAGTAGGTATGCATTATTTAAAGCACCATAATGTTTTTTTGTGTGTGTGTGGGCTTGCACAAAACACATTTTCTTTATGATCTAGACACTCAGCAAGACTCAACTGAGAAACATTAATTGATTTAACATTAAGATCACTTTAAGATTTTTTTTATTAAAGTCAAACTGATGCTCAACGTTCCAACTGAA